GAAGAGGTAAACAGGAAAGAGAAATCATTAGAGACTTATTAAGGTTGAACTGTTTACATTCCTGCATGGAAAGATGATATTTGTAACTCATGAGACCTTTGTCAGTATTAGGGTAGTTAGAGGGAAAAAATTATATGTATGTATAGATAGATAGATAGATAGATAGATAGATAGATAGATAGATAGATAGATAGATAGATAGACATATGGCATAGGGTGAGTTGAAGATGAAGGGGTCATATCTGGAGAATAAAATTAAGGGGTGAGAGAGAATTATACTAGGAGAAGGAGAAAGGGAGAGGTAGAATGGGGTAAATTATCTCACAAAAAAAAAACAGAAAAGAAAAGGATCTTACAGTGGAGGGGAAATGGGGGAAGGTGAGAGGGAATGAGTGAATCTTATTCTCATAGGATTTGACTTAGGAAGAGAATAATATACACACTCAATTGGGTATGGAAATCTGTATTACCCTACAGGAAAATAGGAGGGGAAGGGGACAAGAGAGTAGTGGGATGATAGAAAGGAGGGCAGATTGGGAAAGGGAGTAATCAGAAGCACATACTTCTGAGGAGGGACAAGGTCAAAAGAAAGAATAGAATAAATGGGGGGTGGGATAGGATTAAGGAAAATAAAGTTAGTTTTTCACAGCATGTCTACTATGGAAATGTTTTGCATAACTGCACATGTATAGCCTATATTGAGTTGCTTGCCTTTTCAATGAGGGTGGGTGGGGAGGGAGGAAGAGAGAAAATTTGGAACCCAAAGTTTTAAAAACACATGTTTAAAAAAAATGTTTTCACATGCAACTGGGAGATAAGAAATACAGGAAATGGGGTACAGAAATCGATCTTGCCCTATAGGAAAATAGAAGGGGAATTGGGGGAGAGATAGTAGGGAAAGCAGACTAGAGGAAGGGGTATTCAGAATGTATGCCATCTTGGGGTGGGGGGGAGGGGTGAGATGGGGTGAAAATTTGGAACTCAAAATCTTGTGGAAGTAAATGTTGAAAACTAAAAATAAATAAATTTATTAATAAAAAGAGAAAAAAAAGAAAATTTGGTGGGATGAAAATGGTTGTGGTGACTTTAGCTGCAAATGTGAAAAACAAATGGAGATGACCTCTCTTTTCACATCTATGAAAAGAACTGGGTGGACCAGGTGACCGCTCAGCTTCCTAACAGCTCAAATAGTCCATCATTTCCTATTGCAAATCAAGCTGGCCTCATTTTCAAAGTGACTGCTGCTACAATACCATTCCAGTTGGGGAAGGGCCATTTGTATCTGACTGAAATGTTGAGTTGAAAGTAGCTTTTAAATGTCCCTCAGAGGCAGCCAGTGACTCAGAAAGACCAACTCTGAAAACAGAGCCAATGAGTTAACAAACCAAAGCCCAGGAGGAGAGACAACTGCCAGCTCTCAAATGAGAAAGCTTGTCAAGGTGGGGCAGGCCTGAGAGATAAAACCTGCCCAGGTGGAATAAATGGAGGGTGGTTAGCTGGCATCAGGGTGGAGATAACCAGAAGTCCTGACCCTGAAAGGCAACAAGAAGAGGCCAGATTTATGCAACAACTTCATCCAAAGCTTAATAGGATGCAGGCGGCTTCTTTAGTGCACCAGGGAATTAGAAGCACAAGAAGTCTGCCCCTCACCCCCAGGACAGGCTCTGGCCACGTACCAGCTTGGAGCCAGAAGGGGAACCCAAGCTTCTGAGGATGCAGCTGCAGTCAAGGAGGGCTCTCCAATCCTTAGCCTGCCATCAGAGGCTAAAGCATGGACACAGGGAGGATGAAGCCAATGGGGTGGAACCCAAAGGAACAGAGCCTAATCTCAGCTTTTCTCTTTTCAATTTATATTCTTACTATCTGGATGGCTTTGAGCTGTTAGAATGCAGGGGAATCTAGTGTCATAACTTAGACCTAAAAGGGACCTCTTTCATTTTATAGAAGAGGAAACTGAGGCCCACAGAGGGGATGCGATTGGCCAAAGGTTCACAGTGGTGGTAAGTAGAAGATTTGGGAAACAAACCCAAGTCGTCTGCCTCCAAATCCTACAAGCTTTCTTCATCACCCCATTGTCCAAGGGTCACCAATTCATTCTTGTTTGGATCAAAATCTTCCATAAAGGAATTTCATTAAGGGAATACATAAATCTCCCATCCTTTGAAGAGGGTTGAGGAAGTCTCTTTCAAAGTAAAATCAGCAGCTGTGGTTAGGACATTTAGGTCTCCCAAATGCCCCACACTTAAAGCATATTCACTGCACTTCAGTCTCACTGATATTGGGAAGAACAGGTTCTAGATGTTTCCAGGAGTCGAAGTCAGGCTCACTACTCTAGGGTCTAGACTCTCTTCTCTGCCCCTTCATGGAAATTGGGCCATTTGCCTTTCTGCAGGTCTGCAGGGCCTTTCCCATTCTCCACCTTCTCTCCAAGAAGATTAACCACATTTTCCAGAACACTGAGTCCTAAAAGATCGAGTGACCGACCCACCATCACACAGAGGCAGATGGAGAACTCAAAACCCCATCTTCTGGATCCAAGTCTGGAGCTCTTCCAAGTGCCCTCCTTGCCCCTCTTAAGAGCCAGGGGAAGCGTCTTGTCCACAGTTGCCACGTTGGGTTGGCAATCATTGTGAGGAAGGCTTTCCTGACAGCAAGCCTAACTCTGCCTCTGTAATTGTACCCCATTTCTCTGGTTCTGTCCTCTGGGACCAAACAGAACGAGCTGAATCCCCTTCCCACTCAGCAGTTTTTCCAACAGCTGAAGCTTCCGGGATGCCTGGCCCCGCCCCGAGTCTGGTCTTCTCCACGCTAACCCTCTCTACTTCCCTCAACTGAAGGAAATGATTTGGCATAAATTCGAGGCCTTTCAGAGTTTTGTTGGCTTTCTTAGTCCTTAGGCCTGATGTGAGCTTATTCCCTAAAGGAAATCCAGCCTCTTCTATCCTCTCTCCATCTGTGTCCTCATACAAACACACATGCACATATACATGTGTACACACACACACATGCCTCCACAGCTCACAATGGGAACTAGACCTTGAGATGACAGCTCCTTTTTTACTTGAGGGTTTTCTTCAAAGTCCACAGGAGGTCTTTGGGCACATAGTGTGTGTGTGTGTGTGTGTGTGTGCATGCGTGTGTGTGTGTAAGTGTATTGTGTATGTGTACATGTGTATATGTGTATGTGATTTAACCAAAATCACTTTGACAAACACCAAGGTGAGAATCAGTCAGTCCCACAGAGCAGCCCACAGCAAGCGTAATTTACAACCGATGGCTTAAAGAGCACTTTGAAGCTGGCAAAGCACTTTATAGGCATTATCTCACTTGAGCTTCATGATATTTCTATGAGGGAGATAGCATGGGTATTATTAAACCCATTTTATAGATGAGTAAACTGAGGCACAGAGATAGAGTGCCTTGCTCATAGTTGCACAACTTGGACATTTCAGAAGCAAGATTTGAACCTTCATGATTCTGTGTCCAGCATTCGAACCAACCACTCTCACCCTGAGAGGAGATAAGAGGGAGCAGTTTTCAGGAGAGTAGAAGTGTCCCAAGGAAGCCACCACTCCCAGCCCTTGCAAAATAACACTGGTAGGCATTGAAACGAAAGTGATTGGCTTTTCTTAAGATCCGGTTTGCTCAGTGAAAGAAGTTAGAAATAAGGCAGACACCTGTGAGGAAGGCTGATTACAGCTCGTCCTGAAGTATTTTCTAACATTAAAGCAATCCCACCAATAGAGGACTTGTTGATTGATTGGGATGGGCTGCCATGTACAATGGTGAGCTCTCCATCACTTAGAGTATGCAAGTAGAAGCTGTGATACCGTGGCCTCTGAAGCCCTTTCCACCTCCAAAGGTTTTCACTCTATAAATCAGCTTTGATTCCATGGAATAAGGAACTGGTCACATTTCACGTAAGTAATATGGTCATGAGCAATGGAAGTCTTTCATAAGACCAACACAAGCTGTCCTGGGCTTGTAGATCCATTCTTGCTCTCTCCAGTCCCATCTCCACTGGGACAGATTGCATGCCAAGTTTTGCCCACATCTTGAATATCACCTCCCTGCTTATTTCCCCTGCCACTCAATACTCATGAACATCACCATCTAGCCAAAGGGTCCCTCTTAATGCTCCCTGATCTTGGCATGCTATCTCCTGCCTCTGTGCCTTTGCAGAGGCTGCCTCCCATGCCCAACATGCATCCCCTCTTCTGCAAGACTCATCGAAGCTAGTCTTTCTGAGGGAAGTCTTCGCTAATCCTCCCAGATGTCTGTGTTCTCTCTCTGATCAAATTATGCGATATTTACTTATCCGCTAGCTAATGTGTTGGGTACCCAGTAAAATGGAATCTCCTTGATGTAAGAAGCATTTCCTATCAGCCTTCTTATCACTAGCACCCCAAGCATGGCACTCTGTACCTAATAGGCTTTTAATAAATATCCACTAGATTAGAGTATTGGACTTAGGAGCCAATAGGACCTGGGTTTGAATCATGCTTTGACAATTACTTAGCTTCATGACTTCGGGCAAATTATTTAATTGCTTGGTACTTCCATTTCCTCTTCTGTAAACTGGAGATAATAATAGCATCTACTTCTTAGGGTTGTTAGAAGGAAAACATAAAATAACATGTGTAAATTACTTAATAGACCTTAAAGCATTATAGAAATATCAGCTATCGCTGCTGTTGTTAGCCAACGTTGTCAGGTAAATGCTTGTGTGTTGCATTACAGACCCAGGTCTCCTGGCTTCATCCAAAAGCATTCATTTTTGAAGCCAAGCAAGATCCTGCATTGTCAGGAAAAAAGGATGTGGGACCTATATACTGTACTTACTATGGCAGAAAGGTGAAATAACATTTGAAAAAAAAATCAAGAGAGAGAACTTTCTGGTGAACTATCTGCTGATACAAATGTGCCATGAGTCAGATCCCAGTGGATCCCCCTCCTCATAACACCTGTCTAGGACAATGATACAGGTATCTTCCACCTACCTGAAGAAGCAAGTCTCCTTCAGAAAATACTTCCTGGTTGATTTGAGGAGGCAGCTTGACATTTCCTCCTGAATTTGCAGATTGGTCATCTGGCAGGCCTGTACTGGGGTTCTTCAAAATGGCTGAGAAAGAGAAAGAGGCTTTATTATAATCTGGCTGAGGGAATAGACAAATTCCAACTGATCTTTCCAGGTTTCTTGGACATGACTCTATGTTCTAACTAAATTGGACACTAATCTGCTCACTGAACTAGGCATGCCACCTCCCCACTCCAATGCATTTGCCTGAGCCTGTCCCCTGTTTAGATTCTCTCCCCACCCCGATCCCATCCCTAACTATTGAAAGCCTCTCTTCCTTCAAGGCTCATCTCAGAAGCCCCCCTCCCCCAGTCTGTGAAGTCTTCTCGTCATCCTCACCCCCCATACATCCACAGAGCTGAAAGTGTTTTCTCTCCTTCCCCATTTCCCTAGAGCCCATTATCTGGAGCTGTCCTTTGTCCTTATCAAACTTTATCTTATATTTGCATGCAGGTCATTCAATTTAACAAGTGTTTATCAAGTATCCACATAAGCTAAGCACTGTGTGAGAAACTGGGAATACAGAGGTTAAAAAAAATCAAACAGCCCCTCACCTCAAGGAGCTTACGTTTTAGAAGAATTCCTAACAAAGTGTCCTTGTATTGATTTTGTATATAGTTTATATGTATACTGGTTTCCATTACAGTCTGGCAAACCCCTTGAGGCCAGGACCTGCTTTGTTTTGATTTTGTTGCTCAAGTAAACCATTCTAGTATCTTCTCCAAGGAACCCCCCAAAAATGGTCACAAAGAGTCAGGCACAACTGAATAGGACTGAATAACAATACTTAGTGATTGATTGAGCCACTCATTCTTCTATCTAGCCACCAGAGAAGCTGAGCCCAATCTGCCCATATTTCTTAAAGAAAATCCTCCCTTCTAGTCAGCTTAGTCTACTCCCTGTCCTCCACACTCTTCATGAACATGAATCTACTTTCTGTCTCCATGCATGTTCCCTCCTACTGACACGTTCCGTCCCAGTCTTCATATCACAATCTGGGATCTGGAAGTGACCTTAGAGATTTCTTAGTGCAACTAACTTATTTTCAGATGGGAAAACCAAGGCCATTTGGATAAAGTACATAGGAGAATACAGGGGAATTCCTTGATCAGTTTATGTTTTAGATCAAAAGCAGATTCAAAGAACTAGCCTGCTATTTGTATATATACTATTTGTAAAGATTGAGCAACATTTCTTCTGCCTGATGAGAGAAGCAAAGAATGAATAGTAAACTGGTATTGGACATTTTGGGACAATGAGGGCCAAATCCATTAACTTGTGATGTCCAATTCCATCCAAGAGGGTGTTTGTGCTTAGGAAGCCGTCCACAAGCATATACATAGCACCCGGTCCATTCCTTGGTCTGTGCTCCCTGTTGTGGGGATACAAAAGACGTGGCATCCACCCTTGAAGAGCTCACCAAGTGTATGGGAAGACACCAGGCATGTACCACCCAAAGCACCCTTTGAGATTCAGCTCCGAGAGCCTTCCTGTATGGCCTCAGTTTTTCCCTTCTCCAATCCAAGTGATCTAAGTGATTGTGCTTTGCCACAGATCTGACCATCATGGGCCCCTGCTCAATCACCTTCAACATATTAATCTTTCCTAGAATCTGGTGCCTGGAACTGAACACAGTACTCCAGACCAGTGGATGGTCTGACCAGGACAGGAGAGAAAGGAGCCAATTCCTGCAAGTTAGGCCTCTCCTACTGTGGCCCGAGGTCACATTAGCTTCCCTGACTGCTATTCCACAGTACTCTAATACTCTTTTTATATATGAGGAAACTGAGACCCAGAGAAGATAATGGCTTGCCCACTGTCTCATGGGATTGTTGTTGCTGTTGTTTTTGTTGTTGTTATCATTGAGTTGTTTTCATTTCAGTTGTGTCTGACTCTTTATGACCCTTTTTGGGGTCTTCTTGACACAAATACTGGAGTGGTTTGCCATTTCCTTCTCCAGTCCACTTTACAGATGAGGAAACTGAGGCAAACAGGGTTAAGGGACTTGCCCAGGGTCTCACAGCTAGTAAGTGTCTGAGGCCAGATTTGAACTCAGGTCTTCCTGACTCCAGGCCTGGTGCTCTGTCCACTGTGTCCCCTAGCTGCCCTACATTCTTGCTGTGTTGTGTTGTTTGTTCTTCATTTTTGAAGAAGACCAGTGATATCATGTCTTGACTTGTATATGAATTCGGTTGAAGTGAGGCAGAGTTGTGCCGTCATCACCCTCACTTTCTCTTCCTGAATCATCAAAGTCCAGTGGCAGGACAGAGTCAAGATATAGGGCGATGGCCCAAGATGCCATGGCTACATGGTAAATGCTTAATCAGCGCTCGTTAATCTGCTGCCTCTCAATTTCGTCGGGTCCATTGTACCTATTCAGCCCGTGTTTCAGGGGCCAGCTCAACAGAAAAATGATCACTCCTCTAAATTTCTATTGAGTGTATTATTTGTCCCCTTGTGGCCCCCATTACTGAATACCCAGAAAAGAAGGTTTTCAACCATTGTGGGGGTTGTGGAATAGTTCTAATAGGAGAAGATAATATACAAAAGGGAGCTGGAAAGGGGAGGGGATGAGGAAGGAAGGCATTGAGCTTGGAAGCATGGTTTTGGTGTCTGGAACCCAGGACCAGGTCAAGGAAGTGTATGAAGAATGGCTCAGGGGTGGGGAACCTGCAGCCTCGAGGTCACCTGTGGCCCTCTAGGTCCTCAAGGGCAGCCCTTTGACTGAATCCAAACTTCACAGAACAAATCCTTTTATTAAGGCCACAGGTTCCCCACCCCTACCCTGGGCCCTTCTGCAAAAGGGAGGACCTCAGAGGAACTCACGAGTGGGAACAGGGGTTGGGCATCAGAGTGATATTCAGGGAAACAAAGGCACGTTCCGGGATGAGGAGGCCACAGGTATGGGATGAGACAGCATCAGAGGCACAGTCTGAAACTTGGCTATCCCATCAGGTGCCAGCTCCAGCCATGCCTCTCCCATCCCGCTCCTCTCCAGTCACACTGCTCCTGGGGTTAGTTCAAGTCCTCCTCACCTCTCACCTAGATTACTGTAACAGCCTCCAGATTGTTCTGCCTGACTCAGCTCTCCCCACCCTCATTCATTCTGTATGCTGCCAGCCCTTTCTTTTAAGTGCAGACCTGATGATGCAACTGCCTAACTCAACCAGTTCCAGCTGTGTCCTATCGCCTCCAGGAGAAGATATCAGCTCCCCTTTCTAGCTTTGAAAGCCTTCCATGACTTGGTCTCAAGCTGGCTCACCAACCCGAGCACTGTGCTCTGTCCAAACTGGCCTTGTTACTGTTCTTCATTCACAACACTCCCTCTCTTCTCCATGCCTTTGCATTGGCCATCCCCTGGAAAGCCCTCCCTCTTTTCCCCCAGCTCCTAGAGTCCCTCTTTCTTTAGCATGCAGCTCAAAAGCTATATTCTGCATGAAGCCCTTCTCAAGCCCCCCAGCCACTAGTGCCCTCCCTCCCAAGACACTCTGTATATATCTGCACTTATTAACTTTATGTTTCTTATATATGTATTATGTGTATGAGATACATAGATACATGGATGGGTAGATAAATGGAAAGATAGATAGATAGATAGATAGATAGATAGATAGATAGATAGATGATAGATAGATAGATAGTATACTTCCCGTGTCCCCCATTAGAATGTAAGTTCCTTGTGAATAGAATTGATTTAGCCTTTTTCCCCATATCCTCAGCACCTTGAACAATGTTGGGTAAATATTGAGTGCCTAATAAATGATTAAATGGGGCAACTAAGTGGCACAGTGGATAGAGTGCCAGGCCTGGAGTCAGGAAGACTCTTCCTGAGTTCAAGTCTAGACTCAGACCCTTACTAGTTGTGTGACCCTGGGCAAGTCTTTTAACCATGTTTGCCTCAGTTTCCTCATTTGTAAAATGACTTGGAGAAAGAAATGGCAAACGATTCTAGTATCTTTGCCAAGGAATCCCCCAAAAATGGTCACAAAGAGTCAGGCACAACTGAATAGGACTGAACAACAATACTTAGTGATTGATTGAGCCACTCATTCTTCTACCTAGCCATCCGAGAAGCTGAGCCCAATCTGCCCATATTTCTTAAAGAAAATCTTCCCTTCTAGTCAGCTTAGTCTACTCCCTGTCCTCCACACTCTTCATGAACATGAATCTACTTTCTGTCTCCATGCATGTTCCCTCCTACTGATACATTCCGTCCCAGTCTTCATATCACAAATCTGGGATCTGGAAGTGACCTTAGAGATTTCTTAGTGCAACTAACTTATTTTTCAGATGGGAAAACCAAGGCCATTTAGATAAAGTATGCAGGGGAATTCAGGGGAATTCCTTGATCAGTTAAATGAATTCACAAGATAGTGAGAACCCCTTACAGGTGAATTGCCCAAGGTTACATAGGGAGTAATTAGCAGAGCTGAGTTTTACATAGATCTCACATATTGACCCATGACCATAGTCCTTTCTACCTTCAAAATCCTATCTATCTTTTAAGGGCCAGATCAAGTCCCATCTTCTCTCTGAAACTTTTTCCTTGACCCCCTCCAGCTCAGTGATCTCTTCCAGTGCTTAATGGTATGCCTCATTCAGTGATCTCTCACTCCCTTCCTACTCTCTGAGTGTGGGTTTCTATCTTGGCTCTCCTTTCTCCTTCCTCTACATTCTCTCCTTTGGTGATTCCATTAGCTTCCATGGGTTCAGTTACCATCTCTACACATATCACTACCAGATCTAAACTCTAGTCTAATCTTTCACCAAAACTCCGGTCTCCCATCTCCGTCTGCCTGTGGGACAACTCCACCTGGCTATCTCTCAAGCACACCAAACAATGGTATAACAAACTGACCTGAGCATCTTCCCACCTTTATTTCCATCAATGGCACCGCCCTCCTCCAGTGACCCAGGCTCAAAACTCTAGGAAGGAGACTTGACTTGTCCCTCTCCCAGATGCCTTTTCCTGACATCAATTAACTTATAGGTCCTATTTATTCTACACTGAGGATCTCCCTCACATAAGTCACATCATTGTCCAT